GGACTGGAACTTCTTTTGGAAAGCTTCCTTTTGAATTAATTTCCCATTGTTCTTACTTCTTACTCTTACCCTTTTGCAGTGGTGATTAGGAGATTTTGCATTTCTTAAGGCTGTTGCGGCAGTTATTTTCCCTCTTTGGATTTTGGGTTCTGAGATATGCTTAAATGCTTATACATATTTCCTTTCTGAAAGAATATAGTACTCATGAACAGTGTCTCTCTTTTTGTTGCTGTCTGCTCCTCTGTCTGCCATGCTCTCCTGTGGGTTTGTGCATAATGTCGTTTGTTTTGGTTCAGGTTTTATCCACTTTTTCCTTTTTGTGTGGTTTTTAAAGCACCCGGTTTCTTGTCTATGGTCTCTAGTTGTCTGGAAAGGATCATTTCTTCATTAAAGTAGTCTAAAATTGTCTGTAATTTTCCCACACAAGTTACGATTTAGGGGGATGTACTGGCAGCTATTACACTCAAGGTTGCGGCATTTTATTTATGTTTTTGTTTCTGTAATGGTTAGCAATGTTATTTAGCAGTCTCTATCTTTTAATTACTGGCCTCCCTTATTTTTTCGTTTGTATTGAATTGAGATATGTCTTTTTTTCTTCACGTTTTGTATTGGAAGGATGTGTTTTATAACGTATGCTTGTTTCAATTCAGAAGAATCGGATCAGTTCATTCCTGCAACATCTTCTTATAATTTGACTCCTGTGCTCAGTTCTTCAAATTTTGAATTTGAACCATCTTTGTTATGGAGGGAGAAACATCATGGATCAAGCATTGCCTCAATGACATGTCAAGAGAGATTGAAGAGTTTGATTCTTTCTCAGATTTTGTAATTGAGGGAGGCAAAGATGCTGTAGCGGTTTCTGTGGAGTCGATCCTACCTGATGATTTGCTGGAACGTATCCTGTCGTATCTACCGATTGCGAGCATTTTCAGGGCTGGTTCTGTGTGCAAAAGATGGCATGATATTGTTAGTTCGAGGAGGTTTTTGTGGAATTTCTCGCACATCCTATCACAGAAACCTTGGTATTTCATGTTTACCAGCTCGGATGAACCTATTGGTTATGCCTATGATCCCGTTCTTAGGAAGTGGTATGCAATCGATCTCCCCTGCATCGACAAGTCGAATTGGTTTATTGCCTCATCATGTGGCTTGGTTTGCTTCATGGACAATGACAGTCGAAGTGAGTTACATGTCTGCAACCCTATAACCAAATGCTCGATGAAATTATCGGAGCCCTCGGGATCGAAGTTCTCTGATTATAGTGCACTTGCAATCTCTGCAAACAGGGTTTCACACAACTATACCATCTCAGTTGTGAAATCCAAGCAAGTCCCTGGAAACTTCTTTCAGTGGGATATATCTATTCATATTTATGATTCGGAAACAATGATGTGGGCTACCTCTTTGACTGAAGTTTTGTCAGGGTGGAGAGGTGGCGATGAGAGTGTGATTTGTGATGGAGTTCTTTACTTCTTGATCTACTCAACTGGGGGTGGGGCGCCCGATAATCGACACGGTCTTGTTACTTACAATATCTCTAACCATTCGTCTCATGGTATGTTGATAAAATCCTTCATTCCTGCTCCGTGTTCTCTCACGTGCGGTCGATTGATGAACCTTAAGCAGAAGCTGGTAATGGTTGGAGGGATTGGCAAACAGGATAGGCCAGACATTATCAAGGGGATTGGCATTTGGATTCTTTGTGGGAAGGAGTGGCGAGAAATAGCACGTATGCCCCATAAGTTCTTCCAGGGATTCGGGGAGTTCGATGATGTTTTCGCTAGCTGTGGCACCGATGACCTTATTTACATCCAGAGCTATGGAGCTCCAGCTCTACTGATTTTCGACATGAACCTAAAACAGTGGAGATGGTCGCAGAAGTGCCCGGTGACGAAGAGATTCCCGCTTCAGCTCTTCACCGGCTTCTGCTTCGAACCTAGGCTTGAGATCAATCCCTGATTCCGCTTCTCACCGTGCAGAATTGTGGTGTTATTAACAAAGTTGTCTGAAACTTTGGTTTATTTTGTTCCTATTTGCTTCTTTTTCTGTTGCCCTGAAGAATCTACAATATTTCCAAGGAAGAAGTATATACATGTAACTGCTGATATAAAGCTGCATGGAATATGCATATTCATGAATTATGAGAAGAATAGAATTCTTTACATAGGAAAATACCACTCACTCAAGTTTAAACAGTTACAAATTTGGTGATTCCTCTCTGCAGTTGCTGCCATTTATGGAACTTCTTCATGTTTTTTGTTCTTCACTTCAATGAATCATTCTCTGTTAAAAGCTTTGAGTTTGAGCATCTATCTACTAGTAGTGTACATCTATCTGATTGAACTCCTGATGTTGAGATAGATTTTAATTCTTGCCATGTCTAGGTTGTTTTCTAATCTCTCTCTCTGCCATATGCTGTACCCACCCGGGGAATGACATTTTTTAATTCTAAGCTTTTGAGTTCAATAGTTATTTGATATCGGCTGTTTAAAAGGCTACTGATGGAGAGGGATGATTGTGGCTTAAAAAAGGGCAGCAGAAAGAAGAATTTGTACCAATTTGGCATTGAAAATGGATGAATGGTGTAAAAAAGAACCTGTTTGGCTGACAATCCTATTCCAGAGTCACTTGCTTAAATAATGTCCTTTTAGCGGGTGATTATTTTCTTTTTAATTGAGAAATAGAAACCACTCCCAAAACAAAGAGAATTATACAGGAATCATCCTTGATAACCTGTACTTAGCCAGATCTAGCTCCGGATGAACTATATAGTTAAGAGAAACTATGAATGTGAGTATAAGATTTTTTTTTAATGGAAAATCTCTATTATTGTATCTGTTTTTCTTGTGATGGAATGGGAGTGAGTCCCACTCTTAGCCTTCCAAAATTTTGATGTTGAGTTTGTTTGTTTCCTTTTTCTTAATCCATTCCATCTGTGGCAAGATTTGGATATTTGTATTTCTCTTAATTGTTTTTTATTTTTATTAGTTGAATTTTATATGATTTATTGTTTGGTTAGATACTTTGCGTCCTTGAACTTGATAACGATCTTTTGGCTACCAATCAATTTTTACCCCTTATTTTAGTTTGTGCTTTTGAAGGAGCACGTTATACAGTAGCACGACAAAATGAAGGCGGAAGTTCGGGGAGCAAATAAAAATAGAAAAACTCGCATTAGGTTTAGGGACTTTAAAGCTATTCCATTTGATCTGGAGAGAGATTAATTTTACCACAAATTTTAAATTTAAGTTTAAAGAAGGTTCATGTTAAGTACTAATATAAAGTAAATAAATAAATAACGGGAATTTTTCTTTGCAATGGCATAAAACTTTTCTGATTTAAGGTTTTTGTTTCTTTTTTGCAATGGCATAATATTGTTTTTCTTTTATCATCTTTTTCGTTTAAATTTGGTCGTGTGATACTTTGTTTCTTCCAATTCGCCATTTTTGTTAGAAACGCAAAATTCAGAACCTAATTTTTTTTTTCTTTTAGTCTGGCTATGAAGTTTTGATATTTTCCATTTGAGTTCATAAATTTTTAAAATATTAATTTTATCAACTTAAAGAAAAAAAAAACCATTTTATTCACATGAACTTCCAAAATAATATATTTTAGTTTTCAAACTTAAAAAAAATTATCATTATTCTGGTAATTGCTACTATTTTACTATCTAATATTCACTCATTTAATACTCGTCTAACTTATGTAACTCTAATACAATTTTTAGTAGATAAGTTAATGCACTTACTAAAAGCTATATCGGCCTGTTGATAAGAAAAAAGAAGTAAATAGACAAATATCAAGATTATTATTATTTTAAAATTTATTAACTAAAATATACACTTTAACGACTAAAATGATTTTATTTTATTTTCTAAACTCTAGGTATCAAAATTAACTCTTTCAAGATTCGAAGACCAATCGATAGAATCTTGAAAGAGAGATTAAATTAGAATGAAAAAAAAAAGAAGTTTAAATTTCATGCTGAAAATTGTCAATTTTAGCTCTGTAACTTATGCAATTATTTTTTACTGGCTAGTTTTGGGTGTGTATATGTATATAATTTTTTTGTAGCTCAACAACACGTAGAAGTAAAGATTCGAATTTTTTCGAGTGGTAGATGATGTATGTCTTTTCCAGCTGAATTATGTTTAAATTGCCTTTGAGTATGAATATTTAAACACCAGCATGTATTTGTTAAAACATCTATTTTTGAGTATGTATCAAACAAACATTTTGAAAATTAAAAAATTAGGATTAAAATGAAATAAAACTCAAACTTCACATTAAGACTTGTACATTAGAAAAGAAAAAAGTGTGCTTTGTTTTAGGCAGGATATTAAATTTCCGTCATACGTTGACGTTTCCATATGTCTATGGATTTGATATCGACATTAGAGATTAAAAAAAATCAACAAAAAATAAGAAATATCAACAAAATACTACTAATATAGATATAATATTAATATTAATAATTTTAAAATTATTTAGAAACAGTGAGACACATATTCATTCATAATTTTTACAAATTTTTTTATTTTTATAATTTTTTCAGAAATATTAATCAACATGGATATTTTATCCATCTTTTTCATAAAATTGAGAGCTCCACGTTTTGATCGAATTTTTGAAAGTGAATAATCATCGTCGGTAGTTCCTTGATCCTTCTTTTGGAAGCTCCCCAATGGAGATTTGATTTTGTGTACCCCTTCCTAAAAATAGCAAGTTTGTTACAATACACCACAACTAAATGTGGCGCCAAAAACTGAATTTCCCCGGCAATTCAATCGCCTCTAACCTCCATTTCTGACACACCCTTCGATCCCCCACATCCCCAAATCTAACCATTTCTTCAACAAAAAGCCCAAAAATCGAAAAAAAAAACCCCACCTCCCTTTTCTTCTTCGATCTCTCCCATGGCCGCCTGATCTCTCTCTCTCTCCCCCCCAGCAACAACCGATTCTTCTGACAAAGGTAATGTCTCGAATCATTGCTCCTCCTTTTATCATTCTGTCTCTGGAAATAATTTGTGCCCTCTTTTCCTTTTTGTCTTCCTCTCTTTTTCTTTATTCATTGCTCATTGAATTGGCTGATTTTTGCGAGGGGGTCTGGTTGATAAATGTTGGGGGATCAATTTAGATTTTCTTTTTCTATATGATTATGAAAATGTATCTTTCACCTTCCTTGTTGTTTGGGATAATCTGGGTTTCTTAGACCCTAATGAAACTGGACGATTTTTTTTACTTCTGTTGGTAATTTTGTCTCTGGGTCCTGTATCTGTACCATTTGAGTACAACCACAGCAGTTTTGTGCAGCGATGAAGACCCTGCTCACAGCTTTTCTGGCTATGGTGGCCCACATTTTTAGAAAAAATAGCCTCGCCATCGCATCCTCTCCATTGATTTTCCAATAGATGACCCAGAATTCATGATATTTGATAAGATATTTTTCTAAAGTAATTATAAACCAGTGGACAATGAAATAGTGGAGATAAATCAGAGTAAGGTTTTTTTAGGCCAGAAGTACCTGCAAATATATCATGAAGGACAAAGAACTAAATTGAGATGGATGGCATGGGAGAATGCAAAATTATTAACTTGTGATCCCGTCTGGCGTTGTATGAACAAGTCAATGGCATGGCATAGATGTATTAAAAATGAACTGGTTCTATGTGAATATGGAGGTTGCTAGAATCACTTCTCATTTTTATCCTATATGTGTGTATAGAAATTTAACTTGATATCCAGTATGGCCCTTATGAAGATACTGGATTGCAGAGGATTTGTCTTTAACTCTGACAACTTACTTCATTTTTTTGGCTGATTCTAGTTGGAATCAACCTGGAAATTCAACCATTTCTGGATCAGTGAAGGGGACTTTGGACATTATCAGGTTTGGATCTATTCAGATGGCATATTTTATGAGATAACATGTGCTTGATTCCGAATTTAACTGCCAGGATATCTATATTTTATGAGATACCCTTAATTTATCTTAGATTAAAAAGTTTATATATACAAATTAAGATTTTAAGACATTTTCTCTAGTTTACCCCTTAAATTTTATAAATTGAAAGAGTATATATTGTTACAGAAATATAGAAGATAAGACTTCGCTTCTCCCTGTGAAAATTTCTGGGCACCACCATTGAATTCCATTGTTTAACTTGCAAAGCTGCTTGGTCAAGTGGTTAGATAATCATATCCAAGTTAGTTTGAATTTGAATAAGCTCTCTGTGTTGCAGGGTAGTTCATGGCAATGGGGAGAGGGGAACTCTCACCACAGGACTTCAAAACCACAAAAAATAATTGGATTCAATATACCAAGAAGAATCATATACATGTTTCTCAAGGCTTATATACTGACTTCGAGTGGAAGGATTATTGTCCTGCAGTTTTCAGGTTTCCCAGCCTCTCAAAATCTCAGCAGTTTTCTTTGAAAAAGAGGAAAAAGAAAAATGAATTATTAGAAAACTGGTTTTTGTTTTAAAGTAATTTTTTTGGAAAGGGGGATGATATCAATAGCTTCACTGAAAACACACTTCCAACTAATCAAAGTTTCTCTTGTCTAAACAATAAACTAAACCCAGAAGATCCATATATTTGTTGGCAGTTTAACAGAGAGTTTCTCATTATCTATGTGAACGCAGACCTTTTTTTCTCTCCGAAACTTCTGAATCTACCCTGAGTTCTCTTCAAGTATTAAATTTTAATGAAAACCACTAATCTTGAAGCTAGATGAAGCTGAAAGTCTGACAGTTTTTCTAATCTCCTTTGTTTTTCATTTTGTTCTTTCAGAAACATACTAGAGCTAGAGAAGATAGAATATGCTGACTATATGTTGTCGATATGTGGTGATGAAACCCTAAGAGAGGTTTCTTCGCCTGGAAAAATTGGCAGCGTGGTATTTCTGTCAAATGACGACCGATTTGTGATAAAAACGTTGCGAAAATCTGAAGTCAAGGTAATGATATCATCATCCGGTCTTCTCATTATACTTGTTCCAAATTATTTTGGTTGTGAGTCTCTCTCATGGTTATACCTGAAAATGAGTGTTTGCTTTACAGATTAAGATAATTCAAGCTGTCCAATCTTTCGGCTCTTTTCTATTTTCTAGGAGAAATTTATACCTGAAAAAGTTGTTTTTGCCCTTAACACTTACTTTATCTCAATATGTGATCTCAGGTTCTCAGAGATATGCTTCCAAAATACTATCGACATCTAAAAAAGCATGGGGTCTCATTGTTAACCACATTATATGGACTTCATGTGGTGAGACCAATCGGAGGTATTAAGGTAAAAATCCTATGCTATATGACCTCTATTAGAATTACTTTTGCTAATTTCAATGTAGCTGATCTGGAAGGGCGTAATTCATAGATTGTAGAGATTGTGTGTATATTTTTCAGTATACCCCATGTCAAAAGTCCAATTCTTTATTTGAACTGAAGCATAATGTGATACTTCCTGAAAAATTAATCCAAGTAATATGAAAATCAAGAACATGGCTTCAATTACTCCTTTTTACATGAGTTTTGTGATTAAGTAATGGTTTTTTGTTATTACAGGTATATTTTGTTGTCATGTCGAATGTGTTGCAATCAGATTTGCACTTGCATCGGCGATATGATCTCAAAGGCTCATCAAGAGGTCGAAATTTCAACAAAGTAATAGTTCACGAGGAGATAATATATAAGGATATAGATCTTGATTTCTACTTTTACCTGGATCCATCGCTCCGCAACAAGATATTGTCGTAAGTCCACTTCTCTAATGCAAGGATGATGTCTCGTATTCATAAAATTCATTCTAAAGGAGAAGCGTCCCATTTGTAATGGCTATCTTCTCTTCACTTTCAACCCTCTCTCTGAGGTGTAGTTTTACGGATGTTCTTGCTCATCTTTTCTACTTTAGGCAACTCAAGTGCGATTGCGAGTTTTTGGAAGCTGAGGGCATCATGGACTATAGTCTTTTGCTCGGTGTACATATAGAAGCCTCCTCGCGTCAAGGTGGTTTCTCTTCTTATTTGTTATGTTTGAATGCATTCATTTTGATGCATAAACAATGATAGTGCAGACTGCTATGCAGAAAGTAGAGGAAGGAAAGAATGACATAACCTTATGGAGGCAAGTTGGTCATGGGATGCTTAAATAAAGATAAGACGAGAAAAAAGAACTCATAAGGAACATCACCTTTTACTCTTTTGTTCTTTGTTGCTTCAAATTATATATAAGTACAGAAGAGAAGGAAGAGGGGAATATTAGGCATCCTCCCTAACTTATTCCAAGAGAGATTATAGATTATAGAAAAAGCTTCCTAATTGGCATTGATAAATGAAGAATAATACTAATAAAAGCTTTGGCTTGCTTACTTCAGGAAGAGGTTAATATTCCTATCAACCAACTTAAATAACTTTCCTATTCCTTTTTAACCAAATTTCCAAAGAAAGTAGCCCCAATTACATTTGAATAACTCTAGTTTTGGACTCCAACTTTGAGGGAAAAAGCAGATAGAATAAAACAAGATGGTCGGTTGCTTCATGCTAAGAAAACCAACCGAGGAAAGACCGAGGTGGAATTCATAACTGTTGGATGTTTTCTTTAAATCTTGTTATTAGTGTTGATGCCTCTATGATCCAAGGACCATGAGAAGAGGTTCACATCTTTTCAAAATGATTACCTTTCCAAACCACCTTAGAAAATTTAGCTGAAGAAATCTACCAGAGGATTACGAGGGTTTTTTTTTCTTTTTTTGGGTGAGTTCAAAAACATGTGAGGATTCGAACCTTGGTCAAGGATATATGATTTAATTAGTTGAGATATGCTCGCGTTGACAAGGATTATAAGGTTTAAAGTTTAAACTACTGTAATGAGTAGTATAATTTCACATTGTGCAAAATAACTTTATATGAATATATTTTTGCTCTGCCTACAGTGATTTTCAATACTGTATAAAATGTGTCTGATACAGTCTGTGGTAGGATATTTCATTGGGATGCACCAATTTGTTAATAGGTAAAGTGTCACATGTTTTCAAAGCATCAAACATTAATATCACGATTAATTTTATTCGTCTTTGTAAGGAATCTTTTGAGTGGTTTTATTTTCAGCTGTTTCTTCATATCTAGACTTCTTTAACCAACCTAACATAATTCAACAACTAAGGCTTTAGAAACCTTCGTCATAGGTTGAAGGTTTGAGTTCCCACAAGTATAATTGTGACGCTACATACTCAGAAAAGGATATTTTAGACTATTTTTTTACTCTTTCTTTGTGACATTTACATCAGAAATAACTCTTGGTTATTAAATATACATTGATGGTAGTAAATACACTTACTTTTTTAAGGCAGTCTGAATTATGCTAAATCGTATTTTGTTTGGCATTTATGCTGAGTAAATTAATTTTCTACCAAACGTAACTTTTTATCGTTCAATTCAGGATTATTAGACAGGAGAAATTCTTCTTCTGGAACAAAGACCTCTCCGGGACGTGACAATGCAGACTTGACTGTTGCTGACATTCTTAAACATAATGGCAGGTATCAACCATCAATCTTGACACTTCTGATTTGTTTTAAGTGGAGAAACCCGCTTTGTTTTTATTCATCTATTATGTGATCTTGAATTCTTGATCTTCATTCATTTGGCGATCATGAACACAAAGAGGAAGAATTTACAAGTTATGGTGTTGAAAACATATTAATCTACTACAGAAACATCATTTGTATTTAAAAACTGTTGAACACTTGGAATCATCAGGTTTGGTGCAAAACTTCCTGCAAGCGCAGTCAGGACGCCAAGGAACGAGATGGGGATTGTTTCTTCACCAAGCAGGGTCAGGGTTCCAGAGTGCTACAACGTTTCACTATACTTTGGAGTAATAGACATTTTCCAGAACTACAATGTGATAAAGCGCCTCGAGCATGCTTACAAATCAATACAGTATGATTCAAAGTCGATCTCAGCCGTGAATCCAAAAGTATATTCTTCTCGCTTCCAAGATTTTCTCAGCAAAGTATTTCTAGCGAGAGAATCAAATAAAATCTGGTAAGACAGTCATCATCAGGAATGTTATTAAAGAAACTGGCAAGCCACATTCACCTGTTTCTAGTGAAACTGGCTTTGGAAATCAACATCTGATCTTAGATGTGCTTTGTTTGACAGGAATTTTGAGTTTTGATCCAATTAAAGTCAATCCAGTGGGGAGAAATCAACAAAAAGAGTCATGTTTGTTCCTTGCCCACATCATGATTTATGTATAGGAAGGCATTGAGAGGGTCAGGTAGTAGTGGAGATCGTTAGCAGAGACAGAGAAATTGGGAATATGGAGCTGAGGAAGATTGTGAGAATGGTTCAGGTTTTACTGTTGTTGTGTTGTTTGCCTGAGGCTTTCCTTTTTACCTTACAGTAGCTCTGTTGAACGCCTTGCTTTTTTTCTTTTGTACTCATTCTATAAGCAAGTGTATTAAGGACACAGGGTGCAAACCAAATGAATGGATGAAATGTGATTGAAAAATTCAGAAAGAGCCCTTTTTCTTTTTTTTGTTTTTTATTTACAAGGGAAACGAATCAAGGGGCAGTGGGAACTGTGAACAAAAAACAAGGGAAAACAGTGTTCATTTTTTCAACTCTCTATAATTATTACGTTTGAAATCTGTTTCTTAGTGGAAACAAAGAATACTGCTTGATCAAAACTAGCTGTTTCTTCCAAAATCTAACCGTTGCAAACAAAGACCTGTCTCCAGATAAGGAAATTTGTAAATATGATGCTCTGTCCCACCATTGACTCTGTAATTTCCTTAAACACAGATCCAAGATCCCTCTGTCTCTCTCTCTCTGTTTCTGTCTCTCTTTCTCTCACATAAAGAGGAGATCCATATCTCAGATTTGGGTCTGCCTCTCCATTAATACCACCTTTTTCAAAAAGGATTCTTCCCTTTTCTTCAGGCCTCAGCCTCTCTATAAATTGGGTGTTTCTGTGAGTGTGAGTACTCCCCATCCGTAGTCTCCACCGGCGGCGGAGGAGACGTCGGAGGAGGCGGCGGTGGAGCTCCCTTTGATTCAAAGAGAGGTGGGGAAGAAGGTGAAATGAAGTGCTGCGAGTTCATGCAGGCCTGTGGGGTGCCATTGCTTTTCGCACCTTTCCAAAGGATTGCATGCGCTCGGAGCTCCTCTTGCCTTCTCCTTTCCTTGGTTGGATTGAAGGGAGCTCCCCTCCCCTTATTTTCTTCACATCCATTTTTCTAATTTTAAAACTGTCACTTTTTTTTCTTTTTTTAGTACAGATCCATGGTAGATTCAAATTCACGACCTTTTGATCGATGTCTTAACTAGTCGACTTTGTAACGAACTTTTTTTTCTCATATAGTATTGAATAATATCAATTATATTAATGGTTGATTAATGCATGGTGGAGATCTTGAAGAGTACTCTTATGTTTAACAATCGAGCTAAGGTAGCAGTTAGGGTTGATGGTTTATTCGAGAGGGAAATGGTTTGCATCAATGGTAAAAAGTTTATTTGTGTTGTATTTTGTTAAATGTGAAATGTCGATGAAGTTTTAATGTGAAATGAACAATTGCACCGTTAATATAGTTTGTTGACCTTCTTTTTTTTTTTTTGGTTAAGTTTTCTCTCTAAGGGAAGTTTTCTTTTTGTGCAAGGGTAACGACAAACTATGTCTTTATGATTTTCCTATTTTGTAGATTTTATGTTTTGAAATATGGTCTAACGTCTACGGAGTTTGACGTCGCATCTTCGAAGGTGGCAATATCATCGTCACATATTGAATCACATAATAAAAAATACAAATATTTGTGCAATAAATCAGGAAATTTTGGTGATAGACGAAGATCTTGGTCCATCAATTCTTTAAAAGCAATTATCTACGTCAACGTATAAAAAAACATTTGTATAGAGTAGTGAGGAGAGTTTATGGAGAAAAAATGACGAATTTAGCGACTCGGGATCAATGTTCAAGTCTATAAACTATGCTCTTTTGTTAAATTCTAGTGTTGTTCTGTTAAATGAAAATTTTAAATATGAGTGTAATTTGTAAAATAAGGAGTTTTTTTTTTTTTTTTGGGAAGAAAATAAGGAGTAATTTAGTATGCAATTGTTCCCTTTTTAGACGTCAATATGTATTCTCTCTTTTTTTTCCTTTTTTATGTTCCCTTGTACTTAAAAAAGAAAAAAAGAAAAAAAGAAAAATAAAAGACAAATCGTAAAAACCACCCCTCAAGTATGGTGGAACTTTTATAAATGAAAAAATTAAACCCTCAAACTTTCAATAGTAATAATTAAATCCCTAAACTTTCACATATGATAAAATTGTACCCTCCAAATTAAAATTACACACTAAATTTTTTTAAAATGGTATTTTTTTTATAATTTCGTCCATATTATGTATCAAAAATATTCTCATCTTCATTAATTTTGAATTCAATGAAGTTTTTTTTGCTCTTCAATATCCGATTTTGCAGACAATGTTTATAAAGCCTTTTTCATCGAGACTTGTCGAGAAATATGGGAAGAGTGTTGCTCAAATTGCACCTAGGGACGTCGAAATCCGAGAGATTGCTCAAAGTTTTTAAGTTTAAGCTTACAAAACAAGACATGAATAATTCTATCGGCGGAATTGACAGGAAATACCAAACGGTCCACCAAGTTTTGGGGCATAGATTCATACGCATAGGTAATTAATAAATCTGATACTTTTCAAGATCTGATGTTGAAAATTGAAATGGAAAATAATGTTCACTGTTCTGTTAAATCCCTCACAAGTTCATGAATAATGGAGCATATTTCCATTTGTAAACTACTGCTTGTCTGCAAAATCGAATATCCACGAACACAAAAAAAAAATTTAATTTTACAATTGTCAAATAGATACAAATTTTCAAAATTTTAGGGTTTAGATTTTACAATTTTTGAATTAGAGGGTGCAATTTTATCATATGTGAAAGTTTAGGGGTTTAATTTTTACTATTGAAAGTTTTGAGGGTTTAATTTTTACAATTGAAAGTTTAAGGGTGTAATTGTAACAACCATCGTACTTCAAGGGTGATTTTTGTAATTTGCCAAAAAAAAATGACTTTTTTAGTTCCACAAATATGGAGGGAGAATCAAACATTCAAATTTTGAGAATTTAATATGTATCTAATCCATGTGAGTTATATTTTAATCAACCCTTAATTATTTCTCTTATAGTTAGGTTTAATTTGTTACCCATTTCAAAATATATGTCTATATAAAACTATATATATAATTTTATTTCATTCAAAATATATATATATATATATATATATAATTTTATTAGAAACTCTATTTCAAACACTGCAAAACAGTTTTATTTTAGTTTTGAAAATATTAAATTTTTTAGGAGATGAAAATATAACATTACACTAATGATTCATTTAAATAGTTATATAATTAATGAAATGTGCTTATAATTTATATATTCTTAATTATCGATCATAATTATTAAATAATTTTAAAATTATAACAATAGCAATTACAATTACATGAATTTAAAAAGTTGTTATTTAATTTAAGAAGAGTTTAATGATTTTCACTAATAAATTTTAAAAATTTTAAAATTTCAAAAGATTTGGTAACTTTTTCATTATCTATTAATTAACAAATATGTATTTTCTTTCACAAATTTTCACTAAAACTACATTTTTTCTTTTATTTTTATTTCTCTCTCATTTTATTACTCTCAAACTTTGCTAATATTGAAAATAACTCAAGATCAAGATCTACCCGATAGGTTTAAGTTGACATGAAATTTATATATCAAGGTTGTGTTGGTGTGATTACAATTTTACTTTATGAAATTAAATAACAATGTTTGTGTGTATTATCTTAATTATTTTTTATAAATTTAGCTCCAAGTTCATTATAATTTCTTACCAATCACTCCAAAATTTATTTTTTTCAATATAATAAATTTTCTTTACATGAAAAGTTTATATATATATATATAATATAACTTTAACTTTGACTTTTTAATTATCTCAAAAAAAAACTTTGACTTTTTAATAAAATGTCTTAATATAAAAAAGATTAATAATTTTGTGAATAAAGATAATATAGTTTAATTTTAATTATTAATAAGCCAAAGTGAGTATAGCTCAGCAATAATTGACATATACTCCTAAGCATGAGGTTGTGAGTTTGATCCTCACCTCACATGTTGCACGTAGAATTTTTACTTAAAAATTAGAGACAGTGCTATTTTAAGGACTATGCATAATCAAGCCCGACTTAAGTTGGGCCTTCAAGAGTTTGGACCCGTCTAAACCATTGTTTACAAAAATAAAAAAAAAGTTATTTTGATCCGTTTACTTTTGGTTTATTCTCAATCTTTGTCTACTTTGATTCATGTATTTTCGAGACATTCGTTTTAGTCCCTGTTTGATTTCGTCTTAATCACTTCATTTTTGTTTCAATCACAATTTCAATACGATACCATACTCAATGTATTTATTCAGATGTGTCAAAACGAGCATAACTCATTAATAATTGATATATATCTCCAATCAAGAGGGTGTGAGTTCGATCCTCCATCCTATGTGTAGTAAAAAAACGAAGATTTTGAATTTGAAATTATAATCCAAACCAGTATTTTAACAAAAAAAAAAAAAAAACTGAAATTGGAGAAGAGATGAGATGAAAATAACGAATATAAATAATGAAGGGAGAGGAAAAGAGAAGGGCAGGCAGTAGTCGAAGAAACGGGAGTTTTGGATAGTGGTGTTTGGGGACAGGTCATGATTTTGATAAATCCAACTTCCTTTTAGGGCGGGAAATTGTTAGGGGCGCCTCTATTCTCATAACCAAACAAACAGCTAACAAACGATTAACTCCTCCACAAAGGCGCCTAGTTACCGCTTTAGTTGTTCTGCTTCTCTCTCTCTCTATTTTCTCTCTCTCTCTCTCCTCTCGCAAATATTCATCGTTTGCCTTGTCCAGGTCTATGAACTGAATCCTGTCGCTTTTGGTCCTTTTAGGGCTTCGAATTGGGAATTGGAATTGTGTCTCGTTTTCCGGTTCTTCGGCTTCGGCTTGATTTTGGAGATTTAGGGTTTTGTTTGTTCAGTGGGGACTTGTGGGAATGAAAGATTTGAATACGGATGTGTTTGACCCGACGGCCGGGATGGATTCGGATTATTCGCGTGCCTCTTGTGCTTCATCTTCCGACGCGGATTTTGGATTCGCTTTTAACGACAGTAATTTCTCCGATCGGTTGCTACGGATTGAGATTATGGGTGAACCGGCGGAGTCCCGCCCTGATTCTGTGGGATGTACTAGCATCCTTGATTGGGCTCGGCGGAAGAGAAGGAGAGAGGATTGCAAGAAGGAAAGCGGTAACTTTTCGTTCTACTTGGAATTTTTTGACTTTCTATTTTGTTTGTTCGCCGAAAAATTGCGTCTGTTTGGTTGAATGTGTTTAGGAAAGAGATTTTTTTTGAAACGTTGAAGTTTTCTATTTATTGTTTGGGAAACGGCATAAGTCTCTATTTTGATAGGGGAAGAAAGGTCATCGAGAGGATAGTTACAGGAGTAAGTTGTGTCATTATTGCAAAAAATTGATGCGGGCTTCAGTTTGAGGTGAAATAAGAAATGCAGAATAGTAGTTCATATTGGTTTGTAATGGGGAACAGTTGTTCATGTTGTTTTCTTGAGACTATGAGAACCGAGTAACCCTGAAAGTTATATTTTGACGGGTATGCATAATACAGAGCAGCTGCCACTGAAACACATGGTACATCTGCAAGGGAGGTTTTTTTGTTCATTTGTTGGAGAGGAATCATTTTCTTAGTTGGTGCTACACTAATAGGTGTTGCTATACTTGTAGCAAATTCTTTTGTAACGACTCCTATGCATGGTTCTTCAAAATTGGAAGGCTTTCATGACTTAGTTTCATGGGGAAGGGGTTCTCTCTACACCTTGCCCATAGGCTGTTATTTTTTGTGATTAATACATCTTTTAAGTTTCTTATCAAAAAAAAAAAAAAGAAGAAGAAGAAAGAAGAAAAGAATCATTTCCTTAGTTTCTTTGTTATTGTAACTTCGTTTTTTTTTTCCGTATGATTGCCAGATAAAATGAACCTAATAATCTGAGTCCAGTAAGTTTATATGTCTGTTTGCAGTTTCTGAAAATGAAATCATTGGTTTACTTTCATAGGAATTATTCTGGTTGGTCTTTCTGTTGTTTTGATAGAACTGAACTGTGTCCAAGTAATTCTTTATTTAGCATGTTTTTGATCCATAGTCATCAAATGGCTAGAGTTAATTAAGAGGGAATGGGTTCAAACCCCATGATGGCCACATACCTTAGAAATTAGTAATTCATGTGTTTCCCAGCACCAAATGTTGTAGGGTCAAGCGGTTGCCCCATGAAATTAGTCGAGGTGCGCGTAAGTTGCCCGGACACTCATAGATATAAAATATATATATATATATTTTCTTTAATTGGATGTGGATACTGTTGAATTGAACCATTTTAATTTCAGTTATTGTTGTATACGCCCTTTTCTGCATATTTCTTGTATGTTTAATGTCTTTTCTTGTTCAAACTTTGTTTCTTCATTATCAACTTTCTTTGCAGTCGTTGATCTAAATGGATGCCCGGAGGAGCAAGTTTTAAATGGAAGCCAACCTGACATGGATGATGCCATACCTTGTGAAAATCTAGATGATGAACCTGCTCAAATGATTGAAGAGTTGCATTCAGGTATAAACAATGTAGATTAGGAAGCCAACTTATAGACTTTATCGTGTTATTTCAGGTCACCTAAATCTAAATGAGTTTTCTTGATTTTTTTTCTTCTGCATGGTTAAATCCTTGTGTATGTGTAAAATTAAGTGTTCATTGAGCCTTTTTTTATTTTGTAACTTACTCTTAACAAAATGGTCAGTATCATTCACATGGAATTGACTTTCTATTTGAAATTATTAGATTACAAGAACAATATGTCTTGAAATTTTCATGTACTGCAGGTGATGAAGCTGCAAATGTCGATGAATCAAGCTGGGGGATGGATTGTTCTACTGTTATTAAAGTTAAAACATTGCATATCAGCTCTCCAATTTTGGCTGCTAAAAGTCCCTTTTTCTATAAGGTAAAAGCAAATATACATATAAATATATAATATTTATATGAATAAATATATATAGATTCTTCTACCGTTATATTTTTGTAGGAACTCTCTTCTATAAGTCCTTTTCTCTGATCTAAGAAATAATTCCCTGTCTAGCTGTTCTCTAATGGGATGAGAGAGTCTGAACAGCGGAATGTGACCTTACGCATCAACGCCTCGGGTACACAAAAACTTCCATTGTCTTACTCTGTCTGTATTTCCTGTTCGTTTACAGAACCCACTGTTTATAATTTTTATTTTTTCCCCTTCTACCAATCAGAGGAAGCTGCCCTAATGGAGTTGCTGAATTTTATGTATAGTAATACCCTATCTTTTAGCACCGCTTCAGCTTTGCTTGATGTGCTTATGGCTGCCGACAAATTTGAGGTTGCTTCATGCATGAGGTACTGCAGCAGGCTTCTAAGAAATTTGCCAATGACACCTGAGTCGGCATTGCTGTATCTAGAGCTTCCATCCAGCGTCTTAATGGCTGAAGCAGTCCAACCATTGACTGATGCAGCAAAGCAGTATCTTGCTGTTCGCTACAAGGACATTACCAAGTAATTTTCTGTTTCTCTTCAGTT